GTTATGCTACACTGCTATAAGAAGATGATTTGTGAGAACCCCAGAAAATTATGTGTATACCCTAAAATTATTTTATTTTATTTACTTTGATATTAGAAAAATTATACATAATGAATAAATGGTTACCTTAAATGCCTAATTGGACCCCCATAAATTGAGAATTTAGAAAAAAATAAATTCAATAAGTACATGTCTAGAAGTGTAGAAAAAGTTTGCAGAAATAAATAAATATACGACGTGCATATTGTAGATTGTGTTAATTGCAAATATTACTAGACACGTTACATACACTAGAAGTCTATCAGGTACATGTCTAATAAGTTTTCTTAAAGCTAAATGTGTTAAAATCAATGTAAGAAATTTCCCACAAAAATACAAATGAAGTTAGGAGTTTATACATAAAATCATAAAATGTTAGACCTTAGAGAGTAATTAAACTATAACTAAAAGACCAAACTAACCCTAAAATCCTAGAATAACTACCATGAAGCCATGAAGCCAAACAAACTATCAGAATAAGAAAACCAACCACGAGAAGAGTGACATTTGCTGGGATTGAAACCGAATAAAAACACCTAATAGAAGCCAAGAGGTGAGGTGTGGAAGTTAGCTGAATTTGGGGCGGTGAGTACGTGAAGGAAAAATCCAATGGAAACAGCTTCCAAAGTTGCTAAGTAGAAGCGGTGTCATGAGAATATCAATAACGGTCGGTGGGCAGTAGCACCGAGGGAATGCACCTTATAACTCCTGTTTACCACTTTCCAACGAAAAGGAGTAAATTGAGTTTTCCAAAACAATAAAGCCAAGAGATAAGCAAGAGGGAGAGCTAAGGGAGTGGAGGAAATTGTCTTCCTGAGGGAAAACATGAGCTAGCGAACTGAGAGCAACAACAAATAAACCAAGAATTGAAATCAAATAGAGGTCAGCCAACTTTCGACTAGACTAAACGGTGAAAAGGAAATGAGTGGAAGTTGGCTCTAGCTTAGGACGGTGAATAACACCTGTTAAGCCAGCTGCCATTTATCTACTAAGTAAGGAGATAGCCAAGGGAGAAAGGAGACAGCGGTGGTCAATTAGTTGGGCGGTGGCCGAGTGGAGAATCACCTTTTACTTCCCTTCTTACCAGACAAATATGAAGAGCAAGACCAAGAGAGAGACCAAGCTATATCTCTTTCACCTCAGAGGGAGAAAAGGAAATATTTTTTTTATTTCCTCCCTACTACCAATTGCAACCGAGAGAGTGAGGAGAGAGTTAGACAGTCGTGAGCTACATTTTCAGCTTGTAACCTTAGAACCGTGAGCCAAAAGAAGGTACAAAGAGGGGACTGGTGCAGTTGGGAACTGAAACAGAAAACCATACATGCAGTCTGCAATTTTACAAACTTTAGGAGAGAAGAAAGAGGTACGTGACTGCAATGACCTTCATCTCATTTGGTATAACTGACTTTCTAGGTTGCATGTTGATCTTTAGCAAAGAAAATGAGTTTCAAGCTGAGGTAGAGTTCTGTCTTGAAGAAGCTACTGTCGGACAGAAAGGAAGAGAACTGAGAGTTGTTGTTGTAGCCATAAATATAGTAAACCTTCTGTAATAACCTCCTAATCATCTAATACACTGAATATTATCGTAGTATGCTGGAATTTAGCTAAGAAAAATTAAGTGTGGTTGAAACAAGAACCTGTTTAGGGAGTGGTTACCTGCGGAAATCCTTTCAGCTCCATTCAAGAGAAAGAAACTGAATGTGCAGATTGTTAACCGAAAGTATGGAGTGATTTTCTGCTAAAAGCTCAAACTATATGTTATTTCTTTGTCTTACCTGAGAACTTAAAGCCGAGTTGATAACTTGAGTGAGAACTTTTCAAAGATTAGTTGGAATTTCTGCTTAGCTGACAGAGAATGAGAATAAGAAAATTCTCCAGATTTCCTCATAGATTTGTGGTTCCAAACACCCAGGTTGAGACTTGATCCATGGTATAATATTCTGGTCTTAGCATGCATGTTAGATTGAATATATAATGAAGTAGTTAATGGAGAAATCCTTGCTTAAAATCTGATTGTTGTCCGAAACTTTATCCATCATGGCCGAAGGAGAGAAATAAGTTCTCATCAGTTTTTCTTTGAAATTTAACCGTAAACTTCCATGTGTGCTGGTTAAGGCCATTCTGTAGCTTGAAAACTATCTCTTGCATGGTGAGCTAGAGTGAAACCGAAGAGATTAGGGAGGAAAGAAACTGCAACCCAAATCGCTATGTTGCTGGAAAAGTTAATGATAACACAACTGTTGATAATAGATTTAGTGTGCTACTTTGATTGAATAAATTGTTGAACTTAGGTATTATTTTCACTGGTTTATGTTGGACCAAATGTATATTACGTATATAGTGTTTTAAGCAAGTGAAAATGGAGTTTTGCTGAAAATTGGAGGTAATACTGCTGGAAATTGTAATGTGTTGCTGGCCGAACTAGTTGAGGCTTTTGGTGGGATTATTTTCTGGAATTGTGTGTTATTTGCTCTAGTTGGGTTGGACAGATTATGAGCTACATGCTTAGTGTTTTAAATAAGTAAACCGTGGAGTTTTATTGAACATTTTGAATTGATATTGCTGGAAATTTTACTTGATGGTTGAAACAGTGAAGGGTTGAATTTCCTTTGAAGTTTTGAGAAATTCTAAGATAGTTGTTGTAACTATACATATACATATATATATATATATATATATATCAGTTTGTAGCATCTTGACCTTGTTTTGGATACTTTAAAGAACTTAAAATTTGAAGAGCTAGTGAAGTGGAACAAATAGGAATAAAATGCAAACTAGAATCTGTTTTAGCCTAGATGGAAGAAATGAAACGTTCACTTGTCTTAATCCTTGCATATTAGATTGGAAATGAGTTAATCTAAGCTCAAGTGTTTTATACAATCTTAAAAATTTGGTGTACATGTACATTAACCTTATTTTAAAGCTACCAAACTTAATGATCTTGAAGAAAGACGCAAGGAAGATCACTGGATTTTAGTGACTTGTTTTATAAGCGTAGGAACTTGGGTTTTAGTTACTTAAACCTTAAATTGGTATAAGATACCATGGCCGATAGTTACCCTTTGCATGTTAAGTTGGAAATGAGGAAATGTAGAGATTGAGAAGGACAATTTTGCATTTGGAATTGCCGAACTACTGGACTTGCATATGACTAAAATTTCTTAAAAGAAATTTTGCTCCTCTCTTACTGACTTATAGATGAACTAAACGAAGGTAATTAATGAAATCTGGTTCTGTTTGGTTGGTCTAGTAGATAGCCAGCTAGTGTTATCGGATATTGGGAGTGCAAGCCAATATATGAACATTGGACTGATATATTGTTTGAAACCCTAATTAATGGTTGTGATCATAAATGGTAGATTGTGGATAAGAATGATAAGTAATCACCTACAAATTATATATTCACCTTGAAATTATTAACTTGTCCCAGGAAATAGCTGTGAACCAGGAAACAAACCCGAGGCTCGAGAGTAAATTATTTGGATAATTGGTGAGTGTTTCCGAATTTATGTGTTTAACTGTTTATGTGTACTTAAGTGAGATTATGTGACAAATGTGTGTAGTATGAAATATTGCTAAGTGAGTGTATCTCAATTGTCCCTCACCTTCTAAGTTGAGGGTGTACTTTATCGCACTCAGCTTAGTTGAGCTTGAAGGTTGATAATTGACCAGGTGATATTGTAAGTATTCAGGCAGTTTTTGTGTATAACTTGCTTATGTGCTTTGATGTGAATGAGAGGGTACTTAGGCGAGGATGTACTTGATCACACTCGACCTAAACCCTAATTTTCACCTGTGTTTATCTATGAGATGCATATACATGAATTATTTTGATGTTGAACCCCTTGAGCTTGTAATTCTGGGTGACATTTGTGGGGTCCAATCTTAAGACCTAGACGGACTATTCGAGCCGGCCGGGGCTTGGTCAAAGCCAGTCCAACCTAGTCTTGAGGTCACCAAGTTTGTGAACCAAGTTTGTGAATCAAATTTGTGAACCGAACTTGTGAATCAAGCTCAATTTCGTTTGCTCGAGCCATTTTGTGAGGTGACTGGCCAGTGAGGGTGATAAGGTGTTAGGTGGGAGTACAAGTGAAGTTCTACGGACCATTATTTGTGGTCGACGGAGTGTCGACAGGAGGTCACACGTGGCATATGATTTGGCTTTGGAGCCAACCTGTATCCTTTAATTGTGTTGTTACTTTTGTACTTTTAATTTGACATCTTTGTGAAATAATTGTTCAATGAAGTGTTTCCTCAATTGCTAATGAAAGTGATTGTACAGTGAAATGTGCCCTACTTGCTTAATTGTATTGATTCATATGATTATTAAATGTTACTTGCATGGAAACCTCACGGGTGTAAGCTCACCCTTTTAGTTTTGTTTTTCTTACAGGAGTCAGAGATTGAAGAGTGATTAGATTGGACTAGAAAGTTATTCTGCGAAGATCCATCACTATGTGTATATATTGGAGTCACGTTTTCTTTTGTATTTTAAGATGGTTGAATCTTCTATTTTGAGTTGATGCAATATTAAGAATGGATGTTTAGAATGTGTATTTTGTTTCTTTTATTGAACAAATTCATGTTTCAAACTGATTGGAGATGTACTTAAGAGTGAATGTTAAGTCGTCCAATGGTAATGTTATCTTTGAAGTTAATGTGAGTGAGTGAGTGCTGGTGAGAGCTAGGCAGGCGATCCGCTAACTTCTAGGGTATGCCCTAGGAGAATGTGAGGTCGTCACATGATTATGGACCAAAATGTAGAAAACTTTATAAGGATTAGTGTGACGGCTCCACTTCTCCCTAAGGCGAACCAGAGGGTTGGCGGGTCGCCTGCCCAGCTCTCGCCAGGACTCACACAAGCAAACCGACCAATTATCCACGTATAACTTAAACCAAAACACAATTCGCCATCCGAACATGCCAACCTTTAAGCGGCTTGAATACTAAAACACATTAACTTCAGAAATAACCTTACCATAGAACATCCACCCGTTCACTCCTAAATACATCTCTGACCAGATCACCACATAATCTCAAATATACAATACAAACCACACAGTAAGTTCATAAAGCTCAGATAAAATTCATACAAGCCAAATCTTAGGGTTTGCACTTTTCCAGCTTCAAGTGGCAACCCAAAACGAAGATACAAGTACGATTCGAAATAAAATTTACAAAACGATAAGATAAACTTCAAGTCTCTCGATTTCCGGAACCTGTTAAGGAAAACAAATATCGTGTGATGAGCTAAAGCTCAGTGAGGTTCCGAACACATAGGCAACAAGAAAATCAATGCATTCATTACATATAACCAATAATTCAAGAGACAAGTACAAATAAAGCAATAAACACGTTCATGAAAAGGATACGGGCTCACAGGGAGCCATATGTTCGTTCGTTCGTTCGTTCGTTCTCCTGCCATTTCCCCTTATTCCTCCAATCATTTGCAAAATGCATTTTGTATAAGTAAAACCCCTCATTCATTCATTCGTTTATTCCTTTCATTCACCCCGTCCCTGGCTTTTGGTCAGGCTCCACCAACCTACAGGGTAATACTCGAGTATACCGAAACGTTCACCCAAGTCCCTAATCGCTCGACCGAGTCCGACTGGCTCGAGACGACCGGTAACAAGGGGCAATGGCCAGTTCAGCCCAAAAGGGCTTACATTCATGCACAAGTAACATTTCAATCGCTCAATCATTAAATTTTCACAGTCATTTAGGCTAAGTGCGATAAAGTACACACTCGCCTTGAAAACTCGTTTTGACAATCATTGAAAGCATTTAACACATTATCAAGTAATAAGATCAAGCCAATAAGTCAAAGAAATATAACAAATAAGGAACACTCACCAAGAGTGAAGTTCAAAGGTCAAGCCGGGAATCGTAGTCCAAGTCCTCGTTAAATCCTAGAAATCCAAGTTTCAAAAACTATAAGTTTTACTAAACAAACTCTTGTTTTATATATAAAAGGTTATCTTATAAAACTAATTTAATTTCTCGAAACAAGTTATTAAATTTCTAAAAAATCGAAGCTAGTAAAGAAATAAAATGTTTCGTGTGATTTCTTTTAAAGATATTTCCCTCTAGAGGCAAACTATAACCAAATTGCTTCAAACAGGTTTTCTTGCCAAATAAGTTTTCTATGCCATTTATTTGAAATTATTCAAATCTAGTATTTTTTTCCAAATTTCCTTTAAAACAACTAGTCAAGAATAGTTTTATGAAAACTTAAAGTTTAAAGGTTAAATACAATTACTCCCTAAAGGTAATAAAACTAGTTTAAGCAAAATAAAAGAATTAACTAGTCGGCAAGGTTTTAAAAGTCCCCATATTTAACTTTCTAATAATAATACACTAAACTCAAATTCTATCACTTGATATTAAAGTGGATTATTTCCACAAAATTTGATTTTGAAAGTATTCAAGTTCAAGAAAACCAAAACGGTCTTTACAATTCTAGCTCATTTGCACAATGGATCCCCAAGTCACCAAGATTGAAACATTACAAACCAAATATCAATTTCACTAGGGCTTCATCAATCATTAGCCCTAGGTCTCAACAAATTCCAGTACAATTAAAATTCAACAAAGGAAGTCCAAGGTACTAAAGCAATCCCAAATCACAACCCATGGACCTTCCAAGTACATTTCAACCAACCACTTGAACAAATTCACCAAAAATTAAATTATTGCAAAACTACTCAAATGGTCAAGAGCTTCATCAATCATTAGCTCTTGACAACCAATACTCACTTCAAACACCAATCCATTCAAAACAAGAATAAAAACTACAGCCAACTTGACTCCCAAGTAGTTCTAAAATTCAGATTTTCTTTTCTTGATCCGGTAGTCAAGAAAATCCCAGCAAATGTTGATTCAAAATATCCATTAAATCCTCATCTTTTACTTGCTGTATACACTAAACATATAACTTATAAGCTGCCCACCCCAAACTACAACAATTAAAACACAAATCCAGAAAATAATCTCACTAAAAGATCTCAATTAGTTCGGCCAGCTTTCAAATCAAATTTCCAACAATAGAGTAGTTTATTTATATAGCTTTTGTTCCTAGTTTTCTTCAATTCTTACCTCAGCTCAACATGCAAAAGGTGATTAGCAAGCTTCAAGCAAATCTTAAACATCCAATATGAAAATCTTAATTAAAATTCGAAGAAAAATTAATTAAATGCTCTCGACCAAGCTGGAATATTTTTTTTTAACAGCTTCCCAAGTGCTTGAAGTACAAATTTTACTCTCCCTTTTTTTTTCACGGCCCATTTCGGCTATATGCAGAACCAAACCATGCTAATACATATGTATATACATAATCCAGTTTAACATAGAAATTCAAGACCCAAAGACATAAAATTAGTTAGGAATCTGTCTAGTTCCTCTCTTGGATAAGCTGGAAAATTTTTGCAGCAGAAAATCTCTCTCTCGGTTTCAATCCAAAATTCAACTTTTCCTCAAGCTTTCTTCAACTAAACCTTCCAAACATCTAAGACCCACATATCACATGCAAAAACTACCATTAGTTTCCATTTTTCTTCAACAATAACAGGCGGCAACTCACATGCAAGCTCTCGGCCACATTTTCAGTTTTTTTTCCCTTTTTTTTTTCTTTCCTTTTTTTTTTCTTTCCTCACGGTTCATCAGCTACATGCATGACCCAAAAATCAGTTATCTATCAGTTTTGATCCATAGGCAAGTTCGGACAACATCAAAACATTACTCAACCAGAAATTCAAACAATCCTGCTCTCGGTTGGCTTGCATGCAACCTGATTTTGTATCTTTTCAATTTTCTGTCTTAATCAAGGTTAATTACCTTCATGCAAAGCTTAATCATCCAGGTTTTAGTTGATTAAATGTGCATCTAGGCTCGGATTATCACAGATTAGCTAATTAGAGTTACAAATTTCCAGCTCAAACTTTCGACAGCTTCAATTCTTCCAAACCAGATTTCTTAAGTCTCAATTCCTCATCTAACCTCACAAACCCACATGCATGCGTATAGACAGCTTCATCAACCAATAAACAATTCATCTAAGTCCAGAATTTACCTTAGCCTGAAGCCTAAAACACACAGCTAGCAGCTGCAACAATTCTCTCTCTCGGCTGTCCAGAAAAAAATGCAGACCGCTAGCTCTCTCTTCCTCTCTCCCTTGCTCTGGCTTGCGGCTGGATGAAGGAACTCTGGTCTCAAGCTCTGCACCAGCTCACAGATGGAAGACAGACCGGATCACAAGTCCCTCTCTTCCCTCTCTGGTTTTACGGACAGAAAAGAAAAGAAACAGGAAGCTCGGCTCACTCTCTCTCCCGTCGTTAATTCCTATGTAGCTGCTCTCTCACTCTCACGGCAGAAAGGAAATTGAAGTTGTGATATTGTGGTGTAGTGTGAATGATATAGTGGTGTGTGGTTTGGGATATGAAATGGAGAGGAAGAGGGATGGTGCCGCTGTTTTGAGAAGGTGTTTGTGGTTAGAATTGGTTGAGTGTGGAGATGGTTTAAGTATGGAATTGGAGAGAATGGGATTGGACAATTTGGGCGGTGATGGAAATGTTGTCAGAAGGGGTGTTTGGCCGTGCATGGTGATGGTTGTGGTGTAGTGGGGATTTTGTGGATTGTGAAGGGCATTTTGGTCCTTTCACTTTGTTCCCTAACCTCAACTAAAATCTCAATTCTAACTTAATTCAAACAATTATCCCCAAGTGTGATTTAAACGCCTAATTATACACTAATCTTGCAAGACTTTAATTATCGAGATTTTAATCTCCTAAGTGTACCCAATGCACTTGTAACGGTTTATCAAAAATATATCGATTCATCTTAATTCTAAGGTTCCTATTAACACTTAACGTTATTAACGCTTAAAATTAGCTATCGGAAATTCAAGGAATTAATCTTAAAACAATAAAATAGTTTACATCAAGAAATATTATTCTAACTTGGCGGGAGTTAAATAACCCAATATTTTGCACGATTAACGTGTTTGAAACTTTAAAATTGTTTTTACATACTTATTCAAAGACAAAAATTCATTTTCCTGAAGAAACAAGACATTCAAGCAGGACAGCCTACTTCTTGAGCAAATTAATGATTTCAATGGTAAATTTATAATTCGTAAGTGATCACTAATCATTCTTACCTTATTATTTAAGTTATTAAAATCAAGTTTGACCTTAATATATAAATTTAACATTCTTAATATTCGTTTATCCTTTTATATCAAAACTTACTAACTCAATCATTTTCAAACCATGAACATACCTATCTTCAAGTTTAACTTGTATACTCATTCAATCTAATATACTCTATATACATATCTCGCACATAAATACACATAACAACAAGGCCTTTCGTTGTTTCCAACGAGTAGTTAACAAATTTGCACTTAAGAGGAGAAAATGAGAAGAAACAATAGACTAAGGAAATATGCAAATTCTAGGGTTCTCACAATTAGTCCACCAAATTTGGGTAAAAAAAGGATATGATTCATTGATTTAGAAGAGATTGAGAAATTGAAGAGCAATAAGAATTTTTGGCCTTACTGCTGGTAAAGATTTCATTGAAAATCAATCGATAGGACTTGCTAATCTATCAGTGTACTAAAGAACACAGTTCATTTTTTAGCCATGCTTGTTTTTGCTTCTCTCATTTTGTCCACTTTTATTTCTCAAACTAAGTAGCCACTATATTTTTCTGGAAATACAATATTGCTCTTTGACTCACTTATTAATCGGTTCATACCCTACTTTCTTGTTTAGTTATTGCTATTCTTCTCTTTCCCTCGTATCTTTGCGTTGTGCTCATTGTGGGGCTTGATTCAACATCTCACTGCATGAGTTAACAATAGCTATGCACTAGTCATCTTTCCTACTTTTCTCTCACTCTCTACTGGTGATAACTTAGAAAATTTTTCTAACAAAAAATCAAATGAATATCTAGGTCAAAACGTTTGACAGTGGTCAACCTATGGCTAAAATGATTGTCATCTATAACATACCATTAGCAATTGAAGAAGTAGAAGATAGACAAACTATTCAAGGCAAAACAAAAAATTTCAGTGCCCTTTATTTTATCAAATATTTCACAAACCTGAACAAGAATAAGTTGATCCACTACCAAACTTGATGTCAATTATCCATCAATATCTAGAATGTTTTGGTAAAAAAAAAGGATTCAATTATTTGGTTATTTTATTATTTAGTGAGTTTCAATTAGTGTATTTTGGATTGTTTTTTCCTTGTCTAAATATTGCTCACCAAGTTCTAAGTAGGACTATTATAGTTTCTTGGCTTGTAGATATTCTTGTCAAGCATCAAGTTTATTGTTGTGCATGACCATTTGTTGCTTATTTTGTGGAAGTATTTGTGTAGGAGTATTGTAGTTTTCGGATATTGTGCTTATTTATGGTAATTATGTGACTCACTTGAATTCCAATATGGGATTAGTTGTTCTATTATGCTTGTGATGAACAAATTGTTCAATGAAATTTAAGCAACAGTCACATTTAGTACTTTTTTGAGAAAGATAAAAGCTCATAGTATATACCACTTGCTTATTGAACATTTATCTTAAAGATGGTTCATATAATCTATACAAATTACGATGGGTACACGAGGTTGTGAATTTCTTTTGAATTCTTTGCAAAGTTTTGAGGCATATTGTCAAAGTAGGATCAAAGTTTTGAGACTTATTATTGTCGTTTGGTTTTAGTATTTAATTTTTGAAGGTCCAAATTCAACCCCAAGTGACAATTACAAATTTTCCTTTTTTTGTTTCAGTAGGTTTATTTCCAATTAATAGGAGCATTAAGATATAAACTTTAGTTTAAGTTTTGGGAACATTATGATTTCTATGTTTATGCAATTTTGGTAGGCTGTGCAATGTAGACACTTTAGCTATGTATTCTAATTGTTTCAAATTTATTTTCATGTGGTTGTAATTTTCCAATTAATTCTAAACTTCGTTCCAGCGGTAGCTATTTTGAATTTTCTATTTCCAGACTAGTATTTTGTGTGAGGATTCGAAAATTATTTTATATTTTTCTTATAATTTCTCTTATTTTGAATAAGCTAATTTATATTTTCTTTTGGTTTAATTCGCTTGCCTTAATTTCTTAGATACTTTAATAAATGAGTCAAGAGTTTTATCTTTTTCTTTCATAATTTGGTGCATGTTAAGTTTCGTACTGCAGTATGGTAGTGTAACCAACTAGTGAGGTGTATGCAATAAATTTGGTGGAGAAGAGTGAGTGTTATGCAAGAAGGATTATGTGATTAAAGTGTTAAGAGTGTATTAGAGGAATAAGATAGTAATTAGAGGTTAAGAGGGAGAAAGAGATAAGAGTGGTGCTTGATCATGCCACTTGTCGACAATCCAAGAGCTTTTGAACAAGACTTTCTTTGATCTTTATTTTTCATTTTTGCAAAACAATTCCTCACTTTTCTTGCTTCATCTTGGTCGACTTTTAGAGAGGGGAAAGGGAGAGAAATATACTCTATTTCAAGCCTTAATCTCTTGCTTAATCCATGAGAAATCCAAAAATCAGCCCTAATATATTCCGATATATCTTGAGCGATGTTTGGAGGGAAGCTCTTGGTGGAGTTTTTGGAGGAAGAAAAGCTCTTGTTTTGCATTTGCTCTTAGGGTTTTGAGGTAGTATACTAAGAAACTTCCCTTCTTTCTCTTATCTTGGATTTTAATTGACATATGACTTGATTATGAAAGATTTTGTGAAAAATTTTATAGTTTTAATAAGTTTATTGAATTTTCCAGCCATGATACGCACTTTTCAACCTTGAGATGAATTTTCTAACTTTGATATGAACTTTTGAGCTTTGATATGGGAATTTCCAACTTTGATATGAATTTTCCAGATTTTGTTTGCAATTTCCAACTTTAGGGGTTAAATTTTCAATTTTGGTGTAGTTGAGATTGAGTTGTGGATATGTCAAAATTTGATAGTTTTTGTGGCCTAAAACTTGTACCACATATACCCTATAATATGTTATTTTGATTGATTGCGTTTTGTCATGAAAATAGAGTTGGAATTGGAGGACTTGTGACGACTCCACTTCCCCCTAGGGCATACCCCAGAGGTTAGCGGACCGCCTGCCCAACTATCGTTAGAACTCACTCACTAATATTAATTTCAGAGATAACATTAATTCCAAAGTAAGCAAGAACTCCCTAATAAATATTACAAACCATCCAACTTTCCAAAGCATCCATACTTAGGTGCACAATTAAACAGATCGAAATACAAGTAATTCAATCAATTCACTAAGTATAAATAAGATGACAATTACTTAAACTGAGGACTACAACTTTTGAACTCAATATTTTTTGGATACCAAATCAATAACACTAAAATTCTTCAATATAACATTTACATGCTACAAATCGTCCAAATATACAAACCAAAGTACAAGCCAAAAGATAAGAACTTGAACAACTAGTACCATAATATAATGCCAACCAAACACAACCTTAAGATTTCCTATAACAAACTAGCACTATTCTTGTCTCTCTCATCCCAGCACCCTGTTAAGCAAAACAAATAAAGGAATGAGTTAGAAGTCCAGTGAGGTTCCGAAAAAATAATAAACAATCAGGCATTATAACATTCACATGCTGGCATGATCACGTTTTTCATAAAACAATTAATATCCAGATAACTCATTTAACAATGTACAGTAAATAACACATTCACGTAAAAGGAAACAGTCTGCTCTCGGGAGCAGGTTCCGTTGTAGCTTGTTCAGGATCTATTGACACTCTGTCAACAATGGAATTATAACAAGTCTAGTAGAGCTCCTCTTAACTCCAATCTCCGTCCACCGATCAACCCTCTACTAGACCCGAAATCCAAAAACACTAGAACATTGGGTGGTAATATTCGAGTATACCGATTCCAAAGGACAAAACCAATGGATTAAATAGTGGAATAAATAGTAAGCAGTACCCATGGTTCGTCAATATCCTTGACCAAGTTCTTACTGGCTCGATTCGACTAACTAGTCGATGGGGTTTGAGATCCAGGCCATTACTTTCAAGTCATGCACATGAATACCAATTCACTTGTAAACATTTCACTTGTAACAATTCACTTGAAAACATTTCACTTGTAACAGTTTAACAAGAGTTCAATCAAATTAGATCGAATGCGATAAAGTACACATTCGCCTATTCATTTGTAGTTCAAGATATATGGCAGTATCAATCAAATACATCACATGATACTAACATACAGTTGGAACGCTCACCCATATAATGAAAACTCCACATTTCAGTACCGGGCTCACGTTCTCGCCCACTTTCAAGTTTTAAGACCAAAAGAATATATCAAAAGTTCACAATTTCAAACTACCACATTTGAGACATGTCAACTTCCAAAACTCGTTCAAAAGATCATAAGATTTTTGTATTCGATACAAGGGAAAAACCACGTGCAAGTTAGATCAATAATTGTCAGTGGTACATGGATCAAAA